TTAATTTTACGACTTGTTTGTAAATAGGTTTATTGTATGCCTTTACTTTTTTAGAAATTTAAAACTCATGAGAATTTTACTACTTTGTATATGAGCCGCTTTTAGCTTTTGTCCAGTACAATCCTTCATAACTCTCTGCTTGGCATTAGGATAAACTGAACTAGCCTACGCTGTATAGGCAAGAATAGAATCTGTATACATGTATACTCAGCCGGACTAAAACGCGAAGGCCGTCACTTGGATTGATTTCACTGTGCACCGTTTAGATAGGTGTTTCGCTTTTGTGGTGTTCACATCGTTATTTGTTTCGCTTTTATTATGATCAAATTGGACCAATCTGTTATCTACTATTCTGCTACCTATTTTATTTAATGTGCTAATAATAATATTATTATCTAATTTTGTTGTTACTTGTGTTTCAAAGAAACGTAATAATTTTAGAGCATTGATATTATAGACATGTATAATAGTCATAAAAGTGACGGGTTTTTTAAATAATTCTTGTAATTCATTGGCTCTAATTACTATTTAAGAGGACCTTTTAGTAGTGCATAATTTTCCAGTGTTAGGGAATAAGATACTGATATACACCTGCATTGTTATGCTCTCACTTATTTTGTTATTTTTTTGCGCGCGCTGCAGCCGCCGAAGAAATAATTGTGAATATATCGTTTTAAGTTTCGAAGAGTTCTATTAAATTGTTTATTGACGTACGATAAATTTATTTGATACCATGCTGTAAATTAATTGTACTATTCCAATTTGTTATTTGTTAAAAAAAATTTACCCCCACACTAGGATTTTCTCCTGTATCGTAGAGGCAGTTTACAAACACAAATTGCACAAGGACAAACATCAAGACCAGGGACAATGGTTTGTAGGTCATACAAATACTTGTTCCGTGCGGGACAAGTATTCCTATAGTAATAACCTTCGCGCAAATTCAAGCAATAAGTTGACAAAGTTTTACCACAATCAGACTAACGGTATGACCGCACATAAAATACGAACAAACAAACATTAATATGAATATATTAGAATTATAGTTTCGTATGGTGTATAGAGAATTGGAGAGTCTTTTTACGAGGTATAATGAAAAACAATGCAGTTATAAAGTTATTCCCAACGGCAAACGATTTTTACCAGAGCTTATATATTACACAATCGCATTGCCATATGCATATAGAAAAGAGAGTTAATGAACTAGTTAGACACAAAGCGTGATAAAGTATATGCAGACAAAAACAAGCAGGTGAACAGACCTGGATTAAAGCATTGGTATCAATCAAAAGCTCATCAATAAGTCAGTCAAGTACACATTATTTACTTGCTAGTTGTATACAACCATGTAAAAAATTAACTAGATCCTTCGACTATGTATCTGATAAAAGAAAACGAGACTGATTGAACATCAAAGACTAATTACGCTCTAAACGTAGCAAGATATGACAATATTTATAATTATTCCTTGCAAACTAATTAATCGTTAACGCATGACTATTCAAAAACTTCGCAAAAAATATTAGTAACATGAATAAAAATGTGGTCCTGAATGAATTCGCCAAAGATTTGTTTTTAGGTGACAGAATGACTTCACCCATTAAAGTGTCTAATGGGTCATTCTATGATAAGCGGTTTTGTTTCCATAGAGGATGCGGCCAAGAAGAAAAGTTGGAATTTTATGATTAAACACATATCTTACGACTTTAGCCCCTTTTATGCACACATTCACGTGAGGGCAAGTCAATTTTTACATATTTAGTTACTTTTTGAAAAGCCAGGGTAAATACATTGGGCAGGGGAGAGACGGACATAATAAAACAATTATGAAAATTAATCTTTATTAAACATTGTACTTATAATTAGAGTATCATTTTTGTATTATAACCTTTCTTTAAATCTTAAACTAGAGCTTCTTTAGTGTCTGAGATATAAAAAAAAACGATTTTTTGTCACAAATACTAAAGAAGCTTATTTATTAGTAAATTAAGAAATGAGAGACATCGTACCTTCAACAAATAATGAAACATTCTTTAATTAATACCAATTAAAGAGACTAGTGTTACTTTTGCAAGTTCATTATTTAATAGCCTGCTTTCACTTTACGTTTATTTTCCATCAATCGTACTTTTAGAAATTTTTTCAAAGCTTTCATATTTTTTTCGTTCGGTAGTACCTATGCCATATTTAATTACTAATTTCCCAGTTATACATCTTTTAAAATTGCGTTTTTCCTTTTCATTTGTAATAGTAGAATAATTTTCTTCTAATTGAGCATTTATGCAAACAGTAATTTTTTATTGTTTCTGGAACTTAGAGAATTCATCACTTGTTCTACTTTGCTGTTAAGGGTTAGTTTTTTTTATATTTTTTTAATATTTGTAATCTTTATTTGTAAGGTACCAATATCCTCTTTAGATTTTTTACTTTATCCTCTTGTTTTTTATTATTTAAATATCTTTGTCTTCTAGCTTTGTCTCATCTGTAACAATATTATAAACAACAAAGTAATAACAATATATCATTAAAATCGGATCATAAACAAAAAAAAAAGCCGAGAACCTATGAAAAAACATCCCTGATTAAAAACACGTATCGATCAACTCAGAATGAATTCAAACAAATTCACTTAATGCAAAATGTATATATCTTTTGCATTAAGTGAATTTGTTTGAATTTTCATATTTTGAATTCAATACTCCATAATACGCAGATGTACAGTAATGATTTCCATTTTGGAGTTGCGAGACTAACGCACGGAAATTAATTTATACCTTTTCCTTTATGCAAATATTTTTGTTTTTTTAGCAAATTTTAAGCTAAATATATAAAAAATATCCAAAAATAATCCAAAATCTTTTTTCTCGCGGTACAGTCCCATTTACGCGAACGGACAGAGTGACCCATAAATGTGTTGCTATAATAAGCATATAAAATCAACATCGAATCGTAATAATTGGATCCAAGGTAAACAACATAATTCCAATCATAATGCTCGACTGCTTTTATCGATCGGTCATTTCGGCATGCCGGCAATGTCAAGGCCAGGAAAGAATATTACTATGTACGCGGTCGCGGATCGCGGTTACAGTTACAACCTTAAAAGTTCGCGGTAACTGGACCAACTTGGGGATAAATAGTTTTTAAAGTAATTTGTTTACGACGTAAGAAATTAAAATTTCGTTTATCAATCTTCACTTTTGTTACACATTTGGATACTCGCAAACTCACTCATCCAAATCTATAAGGGTACTTCCCATTGGCGTAGAATCGTGAAATTTGACAAGAAGCAAGGTCTCACAGCACATGTAAAGGGGAAAATCCGAAAATTGGTGATTGGTAGTCATATCGCATAAAAATGTTTTTTTTTTGCGATTACAAACTTATTAGAGCATCGACCGTGATATAGAGTGATGTGTGGGAAAACATTTTTAACTACTGCTTTGTCCTTCAATCTGAATTACCTGTTCGTTAAAGCAATATTCGGTCCGACCGAGTAACCATCAAGTTTATCTTAATTATCTCTATAAATTTAAAAATTAATTGCTGACCGTTAGTCTCGCTAAAACCACAAAATAAATAATACTACTAAAACTCAAAAACTGTGTCTTTAAATGGGTCCCTAGATGGTATAGATTCACAGTTTTGGACCCGGTAAGTGGCTCTGTTCTCGATCCAGAAATCACCCGTGCGAAGTCGGGGCGGATCGCTAGTAATTTATAAATTTCAATAAGCCATATAAATAATTATTTTTGTGAAAATAGATAATTACCCAACTGCTTACACTGTTATAATATACCTTTTGTATATAAATGAATATTATCTTTGCTAATTGTATACCATTCGTCTATTGGTATCGGAAATAGACAAAAATCGTCGAGACTCGATTCTCAAGATGGATGTACTGTCTACATACATAATTTAGTTTAATTGAAGTAATAATAATATGTTCTACCTACTAGAAGAGACGCTGGGACTTAGTTGTTATATTATTATAGATCATTAAACGTGTATTGGCTGTGAAACAATATAATATCCACTGCCTACCTTATTTTTTATAGGATGTGGTGACAAACGAGCACAGTCTATCTGATGGTAAGTGGTTGCTGTGGCCCATAGACATCTACATCTATCCTCATTTGCGAATCAAAATGCAGATGCGTTGTCACCCGTGAGGACTAAGATGGAATGCCTCTTTTCCAGTAATTAGGGTCTCCGGTTCTCTACACTCACCATACGAAACACAGCAGTGTTAAGCTGCTATTTTACGCTGGTATTCTGTGAGAGCGTGGTCCTTCCCCGGTCGAGCCGACCCATTCGTGCTACAATATAGTTACTACTAATATAGCTGCAGAATGGCTCTACCACGTATAAATATCGCTCTGTGGGTGTCATAAGAGGCGACGGAGGAAAGCTGAAACAGAGGATGAGCAGCAGCGTGTTCCTTATGACAACTAGAAAATTAAAAACCACGGTTGCCAACGTGCCATCAAGCGTGGTGACTATGACACATATGCACCTTATGAGGCGAGCTGTGGTGAGGAGTGAGGACTATGTTTAACAGAGGACTTTTAATAAGTAATTAATGAACAAGTAAATACACCCATCGGTTACTAAAGCAGGACATACTAAAAAAATACTAGATGTTAAAATTTGGAGCTTATCAATGCATAACAAGCTCGAATATAATATCAGCCCCTAAGAGCGGTTCTCTACCCTCACCATGCGAAACAGAAGCACTATTTTGCTATTTTACGCTGGAATTTTAAAAGAGCCTGCCAGGTCCATCCCCGGTTGAGCCAACCTGTACGTGCTACACCTAAATTACAGCCATAGCATTTTCAAGCTTTGTTTTCAGATTCACAAAATTCTTTTACAAACATCGGGATAGAATAGAGAATAAGGACAACCCTTGGTCTAATTTTTCAACTAAATCAATGATTTTCATAACTTCAGTTATTATTAATAGTTATTTCTAATGTGTATCATTATTGTTACAGGAGAAAGGTACCTCATTGCCAGCTCAACGGTTAAACAAGTACCCGTCGCGAGGTTTACTAAAGCATATTTTGCAGCAAACATACAATCAAGCTGTATCTGATCCTGACAAGCTAAACCAGTATGAACCTTTTTCACCAGAGGTTTGTATTTATGTTATGAAAACTGGCTTATGAACCAATAAAATGTAAATCACCAGTTACTAAAATTTTGCCGTCATATTTTTCAGGTATATGGTGAAACATCATACGAGTTAGTTTGTCAAATGATCGATCAGATAGAAATAACATCAGAAGATGTGTTTGTTGATTTGGGATCAGGAGTTGGTCAGGTCGTGCTGCAGATGGCAGCGGCGACGCCGTGTCGGGTGTGTTTGGGTGTTGAGAAAGCTGAAGTGCCTAGTAAATATGCAGAGGTACAAAGAATTTTTTTGTACAAAATTAAAATAAAAAATTTATTATTGTTGGTTATGTTTGTTGTCTGTTATTTATTTTCATCCTTTATTTCAGAGTATGGATTTACATTTTAGGATGTGGATGAGGTGGTATGGCAAGAAGTGTGGAGATTATAAGCTAATAAAGGGTGACTTTTTATTGGATGAACACAGAGAGAAAATAAATGCAGCTACGATTGTTTTCGTCAATAATTTCGCATTTGGGCCGCACGTCGATCATCAACTGAAAGAGAGATTCGCTGACTTAAAAGATGGAGCCAAAATAGTGTCATCCAAAAGCTTCTGCCCGCTTAACTTCAGGATAACAGATAGAAATTTGAGCGACATTGGGACCATCATGCATGTTAGCGAAATGTCACCACTCAAGGGTTCCGTTTCCTGGACGGGGAAACCAGTATCTTACTATTTACATATAATAGATAGGACCAAATTGGAGAGATACTTTCAAAGACTGAAAAATCCGAAACTCAAGGTCAGCAAAAGGGTCTGTTTCCAATCATATTACCTACCTTATATCTATATATATTAAATGACGACCGTGTGGCTTAGTGACCAGAGTACCTGGCATAGTAGCTGCGGCTCGGGTTCGAAACCTAGCCGAAGCTAACATTTGTTCGAAACAAAAAACATTTCTTGCTTTTCGGATCTGGTTGTGTTGTGATTGTCCCAGAGTCCCAGTCAGGCACTTACACTACATTCTAGCCTACCCGCGGTCATAAGTTACATCGGATAAGAATAGGTTAGGATGAGTGTCTACTTGTTAGCGCGTGCACTTGTGGCACTATTTTTTCTACAGAATTAGGGTGACAAACGAGTACACAATCCACCTGATGTAAAGTGGATGCTGTGGTCCATAGACATCTACAGCTATTCTCGAATAAAAATCAAAATGAAGATGTGTCGTCACGCCTGGGACTAAGATGTAATGCCGCGTTTTCAGTAAACAGGGTCTATTTTCGATTATTCGAAAATTGTCATGTTGGTCGAAAGCAAACCAAGAAGAATCATCTAAGTATCAACTGTTAAAATAATATGATATAAATCTATACAAATGAATAAAATTGAAGTGTCTGTTTGTAATGTCAAAATTACAGTTTTTTACTAAATGCATATGAAAGTAAATACGGTACTTATATAACTAAAATACAATTTTTAACATTTTTGTCTGTCTGTTTGTTCCGACTAATCTCCGAAACGGCTGGACCGATTTTGGGGACGGGACTTTCACCGATTGATCATAAGAAGTAACTTAGGCTACTTTTATTTTATAAAAAGAATTAGGGTTCCGCGCAAAAACATAAAAACCCTAACACGCGAGCGAAGTCGCGGGGTACAGCTACTTATAAATAAAATTGCTTATTTCGGACAAGTAAAACGGATTGCTACGGAACATTTAATTAATTACCTTGCTTTAAATGAACTCAATGTGCTTAATCCGCTTATTACATTTAGTTATTTTCATTTTAGTTTTTTAAATATTAGTTGTTTATAGTAAAACTTTCCGCCATTCACTGTTGGTTCACTACATTTATTTTGTATCAAACAAATGAAATTGTCAACAAAATTTCCGTGATTACAATGCGGTGTGTGCGGGTGTGTGTGCAGGGTTGTCAGAATGGCATCGAGGAGGGCGAGGGCAGCGGTAAGCGGCACCTGAGCGCGCCACCCACGCGGCAGAATTCACCCACGCCTGAGTTGCTCAACGGCAACAGCAATCACAGCACCGCCTCGCTGCCCGAGCGACGTAGGAAGGTGGCCCGCCCGCGCCCGGCCGTCAGGTATTTACATTAGCCCCATTATTAAAAATCGTCTAAGATCGAGTGGGCTTTAGCCTGGTCAAGTAAAACTCTCCACACTTCTGTTTTCAGCTATTGGTTTCCATTTTTATATAGCAATATTTTTAGCATCTTGTTAAACACCGTTCATTCTCCTCTATTGTTGCAGCCATCCGGTCAACTTTCCAGTAAATATGTGAACACTGTTATTGGAAGTGGTAATATTTAAAATATGCCAATTCTTAGTCAATTTCTCTGTCTTTTCTTAGGTACCTTTCAACCGACTTTAAAAAAGGAGGAAGTTCTCAATTCGTCGAAATCTTTTTATGTATGTTCACCGATTGCTCGAAGACGCCTGAACCGATCTGGAAAATTCTTTGTTTTTATCGAAATCGGTCTAGCGGTTTTTAAAAAATCAACAATAAATTACTTATATTGAAGTGGGTTGTACAAAAATTTTAATTTTACCACTTGTATGTGAATAATAAACAGTTGTAAATAAATTTAATTTACGTAATTTATAAAATACTTTGGTAAATTTAAGCTGCAAATTTATAAAATCGCTTTCCAATTTTAGATATTTGCCTTTTATACAAAGAATCCCTTATAGTTTTGCTTCGTTTATCTGTCTTAACCTAAAATGTTTTTCGACTTGAGAAGGGTATCATTGAATTGGTCTTTTAGGTTTTAGCAGTTAGGCTTGAAATTTGATTGCAGATCTCTTCACCGTTCTAACTTAAATAATACCTAAACTCTGGAAAACATCTGAGAAATAGCTAATCTGCTTAGTAGAATCATATCCGTGTGTGCCTCGTACTTGACAATCCTTTTTTTGTATATATTTATCACACCACTCAAACTTTCTACACGAAAAATAGTATAACACATCTTTAACTTTCTAGTGGTTATTTCATTATTGACGTATCGTTCAGAAAATTCTTTCTGCATCATTCGCTTGCAGAAAATAGAAACTCGTTAATTATATTACATCACAATGTTTGCTTATATCGTCTTGGAATAGAATCACTCCCATACAGTTTACGTTTACATCAATATGAACTTTACTAATTAGATACCTGTGAGTTCACTATTAGAAGTTTTGACCCAAATAAACACATGAAGCAAAATAAAATGATTTTAGATTGAAAATTGAATTGGTTGCACCAGTAATTATATTTTTAAATTCAAAGTCATAATCAAAACATTTTTATTCAATATTGGCCTTTACTCTTTACCTATGCACTTTTTGAAAGTCAAAAAAAAACTATGACATCGCTTCAACAAGACCATATTGCCCGAGTCCTTATGAGAAGAAGCGGCGAGGAACACACACAAGTAGTCACTAATTTTTGTCCCAACAGTTACCAATTTAACTTTATTATATAATTTTACACAAATTAAAATCTAAGACAGCTCATTATCAGGCTTTTTATTATTTTACTAATATTCTTACTTAAAGAAAAAAAAAATCATGATTGAATTATCAACTTGATTACATGTCTTTTCAATGAGTCCAAAAATATAATCGTATGACATATCTAGTCTCTATAATCCGTTAATATGTTTCATTAAATACGGCGTATCCTGGCTTGTCTTCACTTGCTTGTACTTTATTGGTTCCTAGTATAATGTGTGCCAAAAAATGCAAAGACAGAAAGTGAGTGCCTGAAGTTGTAAAATTTACATTCATATTTAGATCGTGCTAACAAAAGCGAATTAATCATTTTGCTTGTAAATCAGATTTAAGTAGTCTACAATATACCTAGTCAGGTCATAAATTCTGTCACATGTTTAATATAAAATAATTGAAACAAGTTTATTCATTATGTAACCATTTATATACCAAAATGAACTTAACAAAACATAGATTTTTATGACACTAAAGTTTGTTCAAAATGACCTCCGTGATTTTGAATACAGGCCTTCAATCTGCGCGGCCAGTCGTCTATCGCAGCACGAACGAGGTCCATGTCAATATCGGCGGCTGCCTTAATCAAGGATGTCTTGAGTGACTCCAAATTGGGATCAGGCTTTGAGCACGCCTTTTCCTCCAAGTGTTGCCATATCTTGTAATCTAACGGATTCAAATCTGGACTGGAGGAGGCCAGTCTTTGTGCCGGATGAAGTCGATTTCACGCGCCGCCAGCCAGTCTTGTGTGCTCTTCGCTCTATGAGCTGGCGCCGAATCTTGTTGGAATACCCAGTGCCTGTTGAACATGGTATGAGAAACAGGTTCCACAAGGTTCGTCAGGACTGTATTTTGATACACAACTGCATTCGTTTTTACACCTTTCTCACAAAAATGTACCTCTGTTAAGCCCCAATAAGAAACTCCCAACCATACCATGAGCGAGGATGGAAAATGACCTCGTTGGACACGCGGAATACGGTTGCTCGCTTCTTCACTACTGTGTGCGTACACCTTATCATTTTGTTTGTTGTAGCTCTCTTCTACGGTAAAATTTTTTTCATCCGAAAAAAGAATTTCCCGTTATTTTTTTCCCGCGTACCGCTTCAACAAAGCGCGGCATCTCTTCAGTCTCAGGTCCATTTAGACGAGCATTCAAACGATGTCCTGTTTTTCTTCGATATACCCGAAGCCCTAAGTCTTCATTTAACACCCTTTTCACCGTGGTTCTGCTTAACCCCATCTGAAGGGCCAACAGTTTCTGCTTACGTTTGGGATTTCTTTGAATTCGCGCCTTCATAGCTTTTATCACTGCTGGAGTCCTAACAGACCGAGGGCGACCACTTCTTGACCTGTCATCTACACTAGAGTTTTCATTGTATCGTTTGATGATACGTTAAACAAATCTTTTGGTTATATTCAAATTTTTCAGTATGTCAAAAATTTGAATTGGCGCGCAACCGCAACGATGCAACGCAATAACTGCAACACGGTCTTTTTTAAGCGTCCACTCCATATTTAAAAATGAGTAAAATTCTAAAAAGTATACAGTTTTATTTTCATGAACAATCCGAAATTCGAATTCAATAAACTTTTTTGTGGCCAGCATTCTAAAAGAAAAGTTTTTACTGTGTGACAATACTTATGACCTGACTAGGTAAATAGGTTATTATAAATAATTCACTCGCCTTTTATTTTTAGGATTTGTTTCGTCATACATATCTTTACGTATATATATATACAAAAAAAATTGAAGTGCCTCCTGAATATTGAAATAACTGCATATGAATATAATTGAAATTTCTTTTATTAATTTTTGGAGGTTACTTGCATGCTATTAAGACATTTTCCGGGCTATATTCGCAATGGTTGAACCAATTATGATGATAACTGAAGAAGTGACTTAGGAAAATGATCGAATAAAAATATGAAAATGTTTGGATAGATATGGTATATTTATACGGCAACGGAGACGAAGTAAGGACAAATCGGATGTCCAGCGATAGGGCAATTACGGGCTAGTGAAGTAGATGTGTTAGGTTACAGTTGATACGATATGCAAATACTTCTTCAGGGGTGAGAACGGGCGCACACGAGCTCGCGCGGCTGTAGCGAAGCGGCGCGCGGCGCGGCGCTCCAGCGACGAGAGCGACGAGGAGTCGAGCGGCACCGACGACGCGCCGCCCGGGCCCGAGCCCGCGCCGCGCGAGTGGGGCGCGCCATGGGCTTCCGCGGATACAAGTCAGTACCTACCATTGTCTTTAATGTCCAGTTTTTCTTTTTACGTCAGTTTTTTGTTGACGAACCTAGCAGGTGGTCTAGGTACGGTAGATCTTTAATTGTGGAGTAGACGATTTCAAGATTAGTTTATAAAAAAAAAACTGAAGAGCTGTATGATAAAAAAATAATAAACCCCCACTTCAAGTATCCATGTATAAAGATTCATACCAACTATTATACATATACATATGTATAATGGTTGGTATATATACTCTGGAAACTAGGTAGTGTGTTGTAATAACAAGGATATATACATACCTACATACTGCTTAAAAATATATTCCTGATAACATAACATTTTCAGAAATAAATGGTCTTATTATTTTTTTATGTTACGATGTTATAAATTGGAGATGGTGATGGTGATGGTGCGTGCGTTGCAGACCGCAGCCGGCGCGCGGGCAGCAAGCGCAGCGCGAGCGCGGGCGGCGCGCGGCGGCGGGCGGCGCGCGCCAAGCGACGCCGCGCGCCGCCCGCCGCCATCGCCGGCCTCGACCTACTGCACTCCACCACGCTCGCCTCCACGCTGCAGAACGGCACGGTGAGTCGCACGCACACCTACACGTACACGCACACGCACACGCACACGCACTCACACACAAAACACCCCACGCCAACATTACGAGGAGTGACGTGGCATTCGCAATTATTTGTAACGATAGTTATAAAACTCAATTACTCGTTAATCATCTAGTAATATAATTGGGAACACATAATTAAATGTTTAATTTTATTATATTTATAGTAACATTACATTTTAAAACTGTAATTGTTTTGAATAATTTCTCTTGTCTTGTTTGCATGACATGCAGATTTAAAATGTTTGCACTTACAAACTGCGCTCACCTTTGTATGGTAAGAATAAATCAGAATATATACCCTCGCACTAATAATTTTAGAGGGATGTACGACAGGTCTAAAAGTTCGCGGATTGACAGGGAAGGATAATGAAATGAAACATTAAACTATTTTTCCTTTTCAATGTATTCTCCGTTAACCCTAATACATATTTATCGTAGATCTGTTAAATAACTTATTAATACCGTCTAAAAAAAAAGATTTGTCTTAGGCGTCCAAATACTTCATCATCGTCGCCAAATTTTTTTCCCACGAAGTTCTTTCTTCATTTTTGGCAACAAATAGTCGCTTGGGGCCAGGGCTGTAAACCGTCGCAACATGGCTTGTGTGTACGGGCGCATTGTCGTGCAAAAGGAGCTCGCCTTTTGTAAGCTTTCCTCGCCTTTTTTATATAATAGCTTCTTTTAAATAATCTAGTAAAGAAGCGTAGTAAGTATTCTCCCGTTATGGATACACCACGTTCCTTATAATAAATCAAAAGGATACCTTCTGTATCCCAAAAGATCGTCGCTATGATCTTTCCGGCCGATTGAGACACCTTATACTCTTAGGAGAGGGTGTGACTTTTTTATGCTACTGCATCAACTCTTGCTTTGAGTCAGGTTCATAATGGTGAACCCAAGTTTCATCGTCACTTACAATTCGGGCCATAACTCCTCCTCCTATCCTCGCAACAACTTTCGACGCGCTCGTGGTTTGATGCGCAAAAAGCATTCTCGGAACCCATCTTTTTTTTAATAGGATAAGGGTGACAAACGAGCACACAGTCCACCTGATGGTAAATTGTTGCTGCGGCCCATAGACATCTACATCTATCCTCTATTACAAATCAAAATGCAGATGCATTGTCACCCGTGAGGACTAAGATTAAATGCCTCATTTCCAGTAAAAAGCACAGCAGCATTAAGCTACTATTTTACGCTAGTATTCTGTGAGAGCGTGATCCTTCCCCGGTCGAGCCGACCCATTCATACTACAACTATACTACTAATATAGCTGTAGTAGTGGATGTACCACGTAAAAACCATCTTGCACAGACTTTAGTCATGCCAAGGTGTTGATGTAGGGATATTTAAACTGGTTGTTTCTGATATTCCAACTAATGTTGCAAGCTGTTGTTTCTTTAGCTGGGCATCTTCCGATACAAGTTTTTCAACTTTTTCGATTATTTATGGCGTGGTAGTCTCAATCCGCCGTCCAGGGTCGGGGTCGTATTCAATGGAGTCCCTCTCTTGTTTGAAAAGGGCGTGCCATTTATAAATCATGGTTTTCCCAGAAACGGAGTCCCCATAAACTGCTGACATCTCTTGAAAAATGGTTTGAGGTGTCTTTCCTTGTTTAGTGAGAAACTTAATGACGGCGCAATATTTAATTTTCTCCATAGTGGCTAGTTCAAAAGCTAACGACCCGATTAGGCTGAAACTTGGTATATATTGTATACTACCAATGAGTCACTGAACTAGAACCTACCTGAATGAGTCAACTCACCCATGCCAACCCTGCCATTCCGCGATCTTTTACCTCCCCCCGTACATTACACATACATTTTTCGGTCATGTGGGCCTCTTAGTCTTAGAGGCCCACATCCTCTTAGTCAACAAAGTATTGCGTATGTATGTTATTACATACAATAATAAAACGAACCAAAGGCCTACAATAATAAAATATTAGCATATTCCAACTCCCTTCAATATCCTTTTCTTTAAAAACTAATTTCGGAATTGTAAATATATTATGTGTTGTTCTGTATAAATTAATGATGGCATTATCACCCGACTCATGCTACTTGAAAAAAAACTCCATTATCCTCTAGCTAAAGAACATCTCTTTGTTTTTGCATTTACTATGCATATTCGGGCGATATAGTATAATAAAAATGTATCTACCTTCAATATGATCCATCCCGTACTATTCTACTGCTGGACATGAAAGACACGCTTGAAAAGCGGATTGATAATTGTAGTACTACACGTCTTCGTTACTATGACGCTCTTCCTGTGGCCGATCTGGGTATATTTTTGCTGGCATTTTCTATCATCGAGTTGTCAGCGAAATATAAAATATGAGAAGAAAATAATTGTTTGTGGTCAAAAAATGTTACAAATGTTTTCAATTAACGTGCACATAGGATGAGTTTTTGATAAATAGTGTTGTGCTAGTCTTATTAGCAGGTAAATATAAATTAAAACCTAATTTTTAGTTTGCAATAATGTGTATAATAGTGAAGTGTATTAGAGAATACTTTAAAACAAAATTTACCTTTAGTTAAATTTACAATATTATTACTATTTATATATTACTATTATTATAAAGAAAGATTAAACTACATTGATGTTTACGTAAGCTAGCTTTATGACTGAACATTGACTTAACTCAATATAGTAAGTTAATGATTCTAAGGTTCGAAGGAGTATGGCCGTCGGTGATCTCCACCAAGGAACGCACGAGGGCTTGCCATATCTCATGCACCGTTGTTTGATGGCAAAGTTGGGTAAAATTATTAAGCATATAGAAAAAAAAAAGCAAGAAGATTCATTGATGTGTTAGCGTCAATGCAGAGTAACCGAGGAACCAACTACTTACTAATTTTTTTTAGATCTTTGGTAATAATTTTGTTTTGTATATATTTAATATTTATATTTTAATTGTATGACTAAATAGGTAAAGTTGCATGGCAAGCCTCATCGATTCATCACCACCCGGAGGCGTACACGAAAACAATCGCATCGAGTCTTCATAACGCTTATATAGATAGTTGGATTAACTTGTTGAAAATAAAAATATTAATGGATTATTGCTGTTTCTTTTGATTCTTGTGGTAGCAATGGATATCCATCCTAATAACGTAAAAGAACGCTCTTCAATTTTGCTTTTTGTTTATATTACAATTAATTTGCGTTGCTTCATCTATCGTTTAGTAATTTTATTTTACATTATCAATAGTTTTAGTAAGAATTATATTACTGAATCTATTTAGATTACCTCTTTAGTGTTTGGGTTATCAGACCTTTAAAAATGCACCTTGCTAATGCTAATAATATTACTTTCAACATTGGTATTTAAATTACATTTTAACAACAGCATGCCAGTTTACTTACAATGTGAACGTTTCACTTAAGTCTTCAAATGAAGTTAATTTCGGTACTTTAATGGTCTATTGGTGTCTACAATAAGAGCGAGATTAAATCATGAAATTAAATCCTTTTTTTCCTCATACATTATTCGTTTAATTGGTATATAAGTTATTTGCCTAACGTAAGAAAAAAATGCTGCAAATTACAAATACTATGGCTTGTTACAAATTCGAGGTTTTTAAAAGAAGAAACAGGAAGTAGCTCTTCTTATCTTTTGATTAGTACAGTTCGCTTAGGACTATTATCATAACTCATCATGAGTCTATTTTTGAGCATTATCTCCTAAAGACTGCTACAATATTTAGTCCTTCGTTGTCTACATGTATTGATATCCCAGGTAGTCACCATCTTTCAGTGAGGTGTCTACGAGTCTGCCAATAGAGAACTATTTATTACTAGTCGTTGGTTATGTGAATAACGTGTAAGACAAGTACCCTTGTTCGTTTGTACATCGATAAAGGTAATTCTGGGGTCCCAAGTTGCTGCCCTCTGGTCTTTGGTGGGATTAGTCGCAGTAAAATTGGAATAGCATATGAGGATTGAGAACATTTATCCAACGCTGTCTATTTTGTTAACATTTTTCTAGCTCCACTCTCCTTCCACTCTAAAAGCATTGATATTGATTGACTGATAATATTGGTGCTTGTGGTGGGAGGAATGCGGCGTGTAAAGAGATCACGTCAAATAAATGCGACAGTACAGAGTCAACATTGGCTTGCTAAGATTAATTTTAAACTAAATGGAGAACTGCCCAAACATTTTCTCATGAAAAGTTAAATATCATCTTTTTAAAAATAATTACAATTATTCATTCATGATAAAGATACCATTTAACGGAATACATACTACATTATTATTAAAGTTCGGACAATATATTTTGAAATATAACTTTTAATTGTAATTATTGTTTAATATCATTGCTTTAAATACTAACCAAAAGTAAACTGAAACATATCTTTATTATTCGATGTAACTCTAATATTGAATTATCAGTGGGGAAATACTCGAGCAGTTCTCCGCGTAATGTGATCGTTATGTAGTGCGGCAATGAAGGTTAATAATGTTCCACTCACCAGATGTCGCTAGTTGTGACTGAGGTAAAGTTTTTTGTTACACAATGTCAGTTAATTGAAAAGTTAGTTTTAAATTATAGTTTATGAGTTTCTAGAGCATTATATTAATACATAAAACAATGATTCAGTAGTTTGTTCTTTAATTTTTTTTAATTTTTCCACTATTAGTTATATCCAGTCTAGTTTATTCATTTCTAATTTAAGTAATATGAAATATAACCAATAATACAGAGAACAACATTAACTTTTAAACATTCCTAAGAAATGATGTTCCCCAGTATGAAATCTGTGAAATATTTCACGTCATTACAATGTGGCGCCGCCCTGGTGGCAGAAAAGTGGTGGATGTCGTGATTGTGAGTTTGTCGGTGCATTATAACGTGGGTGTGGTGTGGCGGCGGTGCGCAGGTGACGGCGCCGCCGCCGGGCTGCGTGGGGCAGCGGCTGTCGGCGCTGGGCGTGCAGCTGCAGCCGGCCGAGCGCCTGCACTCCGAGCTCGACATCCCGCGCTCGCCGCACACGCCCTACAGCCTGCAGCTGCTGCTCGACATGTTCCGCGACCAGTACCTCGCCTTCATACAGCGCCTCAACTCGCCCGAGTACGCGCGCGACGTGCGCCACCACATCGACAAGGAGAAGGTCGGTACAACGCTCCTCCAACACCTATAAAACACTAATTCTCTCAATTTAAACTAACTAATTCTCTATTCATTTTGTTTTGTATGTAACATTAGTGTGTAATGTGTGATGAGTCTCTTGCACGCGAGCTCTAGAGCGATTTATATTTGATCCCTTTAAAATCATTGAGAATACGTTCGTGTAATGTTTATTATAATATCAAATATTAGATAATATTATATGAAAAAAAATTACTTTAATATATCCATTTTTTTTTTGGTTTTCACTTTAATTTCATCTAGGAATATTGTTTTAAAAATGCTGATTGTATTCAGAAATGCTGAATCAAGGAGTTGGCTCTCTACAATACTTGACGAAACTTCTATACGCATTTCTATGTTGCTATCAATTTGATCAAGTCGTTGTTAAATCCAAGAGGCGCATCGGGTTCCCAAAAGAAAGAAACGGTCCCTGAAGGTAACCAGTATTCTAAGGCCTTGGCAATATTTTAACAAGACAATTATTATGTTTACAGGAAAGGAACCAAAAACTGAAGTCCCGTGCGTCTCAATTAGACAAACAGATAAATGTGTTGATAAGTGATAGCGTTGCACTTTTGAAAGCCCGCATGAGTGAGCTCGGTATTCACGCCAATAACACCGTGGATCTATTAGCAAAAGCTAAGGAAATTGTCGGGAGACACAAAGAACTGCAAAGTAAAGCAAGCAAATTGCAAGCACAGGTAAAAAATTGGCACTGTTATTAACCCTAGATAGCTAACGTTCGTGAAAATGACGAGCATCTAATAAATATTCGGCCTCTCTCTTTCTAATGGTTTTACCTACACACTCGCGGTTTCGCGTCAACTTAATGACCGCTAGAATGCGTCGCATGGTGCTCACGTTTAACCGGTAAGTAATTTTGTTTTTGAGATACCTACTGCATACTCGTTAAAATAACGTTTAGCTTATGCGTAACTTTTTCACCGGTATTTTGTGTTGATTTTTGCTATTTTCTTTTGTTTATACCGTTGGTTGTGAAGAATTGCTGCGAGGTCGATCACAGATTACGACATAGTTCGTGCGTTGTTAGGTGATGAAAATAATGTCAACACAAATGATGTATTTTTTTTTCTGATAGTGAGATTGAGGATGGTTTGTTGGTAGATGACGTGAAAAGTGACTTTCTGGAAGTCATCATCATCATCATTATAGCCCTTAACAAGTCCACTGCTGAACATAGGCTTCCTCCAAGCAATGCTACAAAACACGGTCCTGAACCACCTGCATCCATCAACTTACGTTGTCGTCTTACTAGGTCGTCACTATCTAGTGGGGGCCGTCCTACACTTCTCCTACCGGTACGTAGGCTGCACTAAAAGTATCGAGAATGGAATATTTCCACTGTTCCTGTCATATTAAAATCTTTTTAATTGAAAAGTCCTTGGTTTTAAAAATCGAATACCATTTATTTATTTAAAAAAAGATTCTCGGTCTTGTCACAAGGTTTTGTCAAAATTGTTTAATCGTTGAGAAAATGGAATTGACTCGAGAAAATTCAAGAGCGATGATTTATTATGACTTTCGAAGTGGTTTAACACAAAAACAGTGTGTTGACCGGATGATTTCTGCATTTGGTGATGAAGCCCCATCCAAAACCACAATTTATCGCTGGTTTGCTGAATTTCAACGTGGACGTGTCAAGCTCAGTGATGATCTCCGACAAGGTCGTCCAAAAACTGCAGTCAACCAAGAAAACGTTGATGCTGTGCGTAAGCTGATTGAGGAAGATCGACATGTGACATACCGCGAAATTCAGGGAACTTTAGAAATTGGCATGACTCAAATACAAATAATCTTGCATGAACAATTAGGTGTAAAAAAGTTGTTTTCCCGATGGATACCGCATTCGCTCTGTGAAGAGCAAAAAGCGGCTCGCGTTACTTGGTGCGTCAGAACTCTCGAAAGATTCCACGCAGGATCCTCAAATGCTGTATACAACATCGTATCAGGTGACGAATCCTGGATATACGCGTACGAACCCGAAACAAAAAACCAGTCACGAGTTTGGGTGTTCGAAAATGAGTTAAAGCCAACAAAAATTGTTCGTTCACGGAGTGTTGCAAAAAAATGGTGGCCACGTTTGTCTCCAAAACTGGCCATGTTACGGCTATTCCTCTTGAGGGACAAAGAACGGTTAATGCAGAATGGTATGCTAGCATTTGTTTGCTACAGGTCGTTTCTGAACTCCTTAAAGAGAACTGCAACCGCCGCATCATCCTCCATCACGACAATGCGAGTTCTCACACCGCACACAGAACAAAAGAGTTTTTACAGCAAGAAAACATAGAATTATTAGACCATCCGCCGTACAAGCCCGACCTAAGCCCTAATGATTTCTATACTTTCTCTAAAATAAAGAATAAATTGCGTGGACAGAGATTTTCATCACCTGAAGAAGCTGTGGACGTCTACAAAACGGCCATTTTGGAGACCCCAACTTCCGAATGGAATGGTTGCTTCAATGATTGGTTCCCTCGTATGGAAAAATATGTCAAATTTCGCGGAGAATACTTCGAAAAGCAATAAATACATTTTTAAATAGTAATGTTGTGTCACTTCCTTGATTCCCGAAATTTTCAGTGCCGCCCTCGTACGAGGCTGTTGACCCATCGGTTGTCGGTTCTTTGAGCTATATGGCCGTACCATTGCCACTTCTGCTTACTAATTCGTTGGGCAGTCGGTTACGCTGGTTTTACTGCGTAACTTACGTTACTCTGTAAGTCCTCTAATGAAAATACCTCAACAAGGAAAAAAAGCCAGCAGTTTGTATTCCTTTAAGAAAAGGCGCATGACATAGAATTACTGCAATAGCTGCAGAGTTCCAATTTGTGGTGATTATACAATATGTAACAAAAACCCTGTGGTTCCCGTTAAGTATGTTATCAGGATCATTATTCAAACGTATAGAAATAACTTTTTTTAAAAACTCGAACAATAAATTTTTTTTATTTTATTTAAAAAAAAAATCTATGCAAATTGTATGTGGTTTTATTACCTCTGCATTGTCTGGGGAGTAAGAGGATTGTCAAAGACCCCGCTTTACTTAGCTTTAGCATCGGCTAGTGTCAGTAAGAGATAATAAAACCACATAAAATTAAAAAAATGGTCGAGTTTTTAAAAAAAAGTTATTTCTATATGTTTGAATACTGATCCTGATAACGTACTTAACGGGAACCACAGGGTTTTTGTTACATATTGTATAACGAACGACTTTTGCTCAACTTGTACCAAAAAGGCTGAGGCATTTGATAATTTCCGTTGATTTAATGGTTTCCTTTATAACAATAAAAAAGAAAAACTAAATTACTAAACAATAGTTCCTAATTTAGTCATTGTAATATTTAGTACCTTACTGATCTCAAGAAAACATTTGCCATTTAATATTTGTGATTTAGTATTTAAAAATGAAATAAATATTCTATTTTATAATAATTATCTTTAATTTATATCCCATATTTCCTATAAATATAATAAACCAGATAAAAGAAATAAAATTTTAATAAAAAACACATATAAATGATCGTCAAAATGTCGAATGGTTAGCTTACCATGGTAGTTGAGGAACATTAGCTATATAGGGTTAAAATATACATAATATATCAGAATAATAATGTTACGATAACTCATTTGTATTCTTATTTTATTGTAGGTAAACAACATAGAAGCGGAACAAGCAATACTTGTAAAACAACGGACTTTTGAAATAACTGAAAAGTATCGCCAGATGGGCCAAATACCTCCAGATGTTGAGATCACCCAGAGCATAGCTCATGATTGTATTTTGAAAGAGATTTCCGCTACGCTAGCGCATCGAAAAAGATTGCACGCGCAGGTGGGTCACTTACAGAATGAAATTATTCAGATGGAAAGAGCTAGCGAACAGAAAGTTGCGGCACCGACCGTTCCCGTGGCAACGGTGAAACCGCACACGGTGAATTCAAAACCTAGGAAATCGAGAGAGCATCGATCGCGCTCGCAGGAGTGGCCCGACGTGCCGGACGTGGGAAAGATCGAGGAGCAGAATCCAGAAATTCTCGCACAAAAAATACTGGAGACGGGACGTCAGATCGAGGCGGGCAAGATCGTGAAGCCGAACGTGATAGTGAACGGATATACGCGGGATGCGGATCAGCACCGGCAGGCGAAGGCGGCGCCCGTGCACCGCACGCAGCCGCAGCCGCAGCGCCACGTGCAGCCGCCGCCGCTCGCGCACCGCCAGTCGCCCGTCAAGCCGCAGAAGCCTCTCAACGTCGTCACCAAGGTGCAGGAGTCGCCGAAGGTGATCAACTTCGAGGACCGCCTCAAGAGCATTATAACGTCGGTGCTCAACGAGGACCAGGAGCAGAGGAAGGCTTCGCGACAGCCGACGCCCAACCACACGTACGCGAACGGGTACGTGCGACCCGCGAGCGGGCAGCACGCGACGTTTGCACCGCGGCCGGTGGCGAGTGCCGTGCCGAGCGGGTACGCGAGACCCGCCCGTGATCTGCGCCGCGAGCGGTACGGGTACGAGCGCCGCACGGAGCCGCGCACGCCGCTCGGGCCCCACGGACCCCACGGACCCCACGGAGCCCCCGCGCCGCATGCCCTGCTCGAACAGCGCCACCATCATTCCGGCCAACCGGATTACACACAAGTTAGTACTCCTACTTTTTAATTTTTCCATTACGTGAAATCATCGACGCACTGTGAGAGGTAACCTACATAGATAGTAGATAATATCATTTGTCGTTTCTCTTACTATGTTATTATTATTATTTTGGTGATTTACGTTATTAAGCAACAACGGCGCTCGAATATTAGCGTGCTTAGCAGAGCGAGACAGTATGTCGTGCCGGTACATCACTTGTAACTTTACAAAGCGCAAGTTCGGCCTCATATGGAATACTCTTCTCATCTCTGGGCCAGGACACCCCAGTGCCAGCTCCTTCCACTTGACCGCATCCATCGCAGAGCGGTTCGAATCATCGACGACCGAGTTCTTTCTGATCGGATCGATACACTGGCGCTGCGGGATGTTGCATCCCTTTGCATTTTCTATCGAATCTATCAGTTCGGATTAATTCCAGCCACTAAATCGCACGAACGCACATCGAGTCAAAATTCACGATACCATGCTCATCATCTGGTTGCTTGATGGTCCACGACTATGCGTTTTACTAGGAGTTTTCTTCCTCGTACAACTTCTCTGCGGAATTGTTTACCACTGGCGATTTTTCCGGACTTAGGGACCTTCAAGAAAAGAGCTTACATCTTTCTAAAAGGCCGGCAACGCATCTACAATTCTCCTCGTGTTGCGATTGTTCATGGGCGGCGGTAATCACTTACCATCAGGTGAGCCCCATGCTCGTTTGCCCCCTTTTAAAAAAAACTTCCATAGAGTACCCACTGTACGTTTTCTGTAATAGAAGATTTTGCATTGTATATTCGAAGTGTCATTTCTCTGTAATTACATATTCTCTTTTTTATTTTAATCATTTACTTATTATTTTAAGCCAATAGATTGAGTAAATGTCTCCATGTGCTGTAAATGTAATCAATGTTTTTAAGTATTGTGGTGGTCAAGAATTTTTTTTATAATTATTTTGAATATGTTAACGTGGGGCAGCACATGGTACTTTTCTCTGTACCATAACCCTATCAGAAATGAGAGAAAGTCTGTTCCTAGCAGTGGTATACATGACAACAATCTCAACTCGACGATATCAACTCATATATCATAAAAACAGTTGCAGTCTACTGCTAGATGTAACTATCCTAAAATATGCTATCTATGACGTGCATTACTTAACTCTTTCGCTGTCTCGTGCACTACATGTAGGTCATTGTTATTGTCTTACTACATATTATGTCTGCAAACTGGACAGTGAAAGTGTTAAAATATTTTTCCATACTCACCACATTTGGTAGGTAGTGAACGTAAAGGCACTGTCGATGTTGCTCCTTATTCATCAGTTATTGAAATTTTGGTTCATCATTTTTTGATGGTTTTACCACTATCGTTTGATTGCTCTACAGGATGCACCACGGTCAGGTGAGGCTAGCAAACGTGATTTGTTCTAAACAAATTAATACTAGCGACGCTAGATTAAAGCGCCAATGTGCTGGCTGTCAAAGATTGTATAAAAGGTGTTATTACAATATTACGGATTTTGTGGATTATAATAACCCTTGGGAATGAGGTAGAGGTAGGTAGGGATCCTACCAATTATTTCTATTTTTTGTGTAGTTAATTGTGTAACATAATAATAACATTAATAATGGAAACGCCAGAATGGAGTTAATTGTGTAACATATTATAGTATTTTTGTAAACTGTGCTTTTTCCACAAATAAAAATCTGCTGGGTTTCTTGCTGGTTCTTCCCAGGAAAGAGGTATTTTCCGAACCAGTTGTAAATTAAACATCACATAATATTGAATAGAAAAGTTTGTATAATTTGTATTTGTTATTTGTTAGGTGTCTCCGGCGAAGCTGGCGCTGCGGCGGCACCTGTCGCAGGAGCGGCTGGCGGCGCCCGGCGCGCGCACCATCGGCGACCTCGTCAACGGCGAGATCGAGCGCACGCTCGAGATCTCCAACCAGAGCATCATCAACGCCGCCGTCAACATGAGCGCGCGCTACCACGAGCCCGCCGCGCACCACCAGCCGCACCAGCTGCACCAGACGCACCAGCCTCACCAGCCCCACCAACCTCACCAGCCGCTCGAAGGTACGCTCAGGCTAATAATTTTCTGCTCACCAGATGTCGCTAGTAGGAACTAATGTGAGGTTGCTCTTTTAATTTTTTTGCACATTTTTTAACCGATTCGTTGCGGCACCAATTTTCGACAACTTTTAGCTGTGGCGGCGAACAAATATTTCATGACACGCCGGGCGTGTTAAGCGCCACAGACAATAATGACACGCCTATTGTGCCATCGGCCATGTGTAAAAGTAATGTTCTCTTTTATGCTTTTTTTACTTGTTTAGACCTAATATAGTTTATTTGACATCAAACATAAGTTACAAATGGAAGGATACTTGTTTTTAGTGGGTAACTATGTGTTTTTTACGCGTTTTCTTTGAAATTGAGAGAAAGTGACTTTTTTATGAAGAGATTACAAACCTTTTGTACTATTTTTTGTTGTTATAAAAAAATCATTTATATAAGTAGGTACAGCTAAATCACTCTGGAAACCTTGGTTTTTATTAAATTAAATTTTTACCTAATAATAACATTTGTAAATATCAAACAATGAAGAACCTTAATTTGAAAAAAGAAAAAAGGTATATCATTCATTGATATTTACAAATGTTAAATATTATTTAATGTTATACATATGTAAAAGTAAAGTCCATCTGAAAACGTCTAATTAGTAAGAATAGCAAAACAAGTGTTTTCAAAAGGAAAAAAACGCCGGCGCTATACGGCGGCGGATTGACAAAAGACTATTTATTAGCGAACTTTTTTATGCATGAACGGTTTCGAACTGTTTCAAGCAAAAATAAACCTTATACCTTATCACAAAAGCACATGGTACTTCGTAGGTCTATTCGGCCATATGATAGTAATAAGACGGCAGTTCAACCATTTAAGCAAAATTAAACAACAAGACAAACGCATTGTTTTTTTTTTAACAGGAGACTTGTTTTCCAGAAATTTATTTACAACTTGAGTTTGTGAGCGATCGCAATGAGTGCTATTATTTGTTACTTATTAGACAATTTTTCCATAACATGATTTAAAAACCCACAAAGTAAAAATAGTACCATGTACACGTTAAAAAAGGTTGTCAACCACTAAAAATATCAAATTTTCAAAATATCCAGAAACGAAGCTGCATGCATGAACTACTCGCAAAATAATGAATATTTTGCAATTTGAGCGAGTTATAACGATTTTTAAAAAGACACGACTCGCGTGTCATACGCCACACATAAAAGTAATCGGTGGCACGCCTGGCGTGTCACCCGCACTGAACCGGTTAACTATTTTTAATTATTTTACTTTTCGCAATATTCGTAGTTTGATTGATTTATTCATTTTAATCTAATAATATAAAAATATAAGTGATGTTTCAGAAAGAAACATTCACCTAATTTCTAAAATTCCAAATAATTTACCGTGCCTCTATTATGTACAACAATCATATAATGACAAAATTATACCTTCGAAGCTATGATTTTCATAACTAGAGATAGATAGCGTTTTTAATATTTATTTCGGAATTAATCAGAGCGTCATATTTGCATATCTCTATTATTGACGTATGTTTGTAACTTTATTTTTATACATACATACATACATACATACATATAATCACGCCTCTTTCCCGTAGGGGTAGGCAGAGACCACTTCTCTCCACTTGCTACGATCCTTACATACTTATTTCGCTTCGTCCACTTTCATTATTCCCTTCATACATGCTCTTCGGTTTAGGGTACTCTTGACCTGGCCTTTTTTTCAAGACGTCTCTGATTTGGTCTAGAAACGTCCGCCTAGGTCTTCCCCTTCCGACACTTTCATTCACACTCGCCTTATACACTTTTTTCGTCAATCGTTCTTCATTCATTCTCTCGACATGGCCAAAAAATCTCAGCATATCTTTCCCAATTTTTGTCACTACATCTTCTTTCAGACCACAACGTTTCCTTATTTCACTATTTCTTATCCTGTCACTCAGTTTAACTCCTATCATACTTCTTAACGCTCTCATCTCAACTGTGTTCATTCTGCTTTCATGTTTCTTCTGCCATACCCAACTTTCACTTCCGTACATGAGTGTCGGAACCAACACTCCCTCATGCACAGCCAAACGAGCCTTGTCAGACATCTTCCGACTGCTCATAAAGGAGTGTAAAGCTCCATTCACCATGTTTCCTGCATTCACTCTTCTTTCGATATCACTCTCACACTTTCCATCTCTTGTAAACTTTGAAACCAGATACACAAACTCCTTCACCTGTTCTATTTGTTCATCTCCAATCACGATATTGCAGTCTGTCACTATCTCATCTCTTTCAAACACCATCACTTTCGTCTTCTTTACATTTATCTTCATTCCCTTTTTAACAAAAGCTCCACTCATAACAGTTATCATCTCCTGCAACTCCTCGGAAGTAATACTTCGTCATCAGCATAGAGAAAACATTTGACGAGTAACTCATTCATTCTCAACCCACTTTTATTCTCTTTTAAATTTGTCAAACAATAGTCCATGAACAGATTAAACAGCCACGGTGACGCAACAGATCCCTGTCTAACACCTTTATGGATATTAAACCATTCAGTGTATGCCCCGTTTATCCCTACACAAGCACTAGAATCCCTATAAAGAGATTTTTATGCTTGTATGAGGATACTGCTCACACCGTTCACGGACAGTGCTGACCACAATTCATTCCTCACCATAGAGTGGTCATAGGCCTTTTCTAGATGATTATAGATATAGATGATAGATTTTTATAATAATACATTATTTAAAAACGAGGTACTGACTAAAGTTATAATTTGTAGGTCTTGCGGCGTGCTTGCAAGCGCGCGTGTTGGCGTCGGAGTACTGGCGCGGGCGCGGCGGCGGCACGGGGGGCGGCGCGGGCGCGGGGGCGGGGGGCGGCGAGGCGGAGGAGGCGGGCCGCCGCCGCTCGCCGCCGCCCGACCCGCACTCCAACACCTCCACGCCGCTCGTCGACGAGCTGCCCGACGCCGTGCGTCCGCCCGGTATGCGCGACGCCACATCTGTGCACGTTCAATGGACACTCGCCTGACTAGCCCTAATGTCGATCACCTGTACACGAATCAGGGTGATCGTTGTCAATCGTTATGGCACTATTGGTAATCGAATGTATATTTGAATGCGTAAATAGTGTATTAATGGAAATTCTTTGAGAATAATTAAATTTGTTTCAGATCAGTGCATTTCATATTTTTGTCGAACGTGACATACTTTGTGCATGGGGTGTGCGGGATTCTTTAGGTAAATAAGATTAAGGCCTGTTCATTTTAATGATTTTTTCGGTTTGCGCGAGCTTCACACATTGAACTGTATCACATTTTCCGCTGCGAGTGTCCATTCTATGTGCTATTTTAATATGTTTTTTTTTTATAATTGTATCTGTGCGGAAGTTTCACGATACGAAATTACACAACACTCGTTTCAGAAGGCGAGGGCGGCGAGGAGGTGGAAGAGAGCAAGTGGCAAGATCGCATCGCGTTCCGATTCGATCAGATCATATCGTTCGCGTCGACCGCGATGGAGGACAAGCGACGGCGGTCGGACGAGACGTGCAACACGTCGCCCGACTCGGGCATCGGGCACGGCGAGCCGGGGCGCGTGGGCGCGGGTACAGCGGCGGGCGCGGGTGCGGGAGCGGCGGTGACCGCGGGCGGAGGCGGCGCGGCGTGCGGGGCGAGCGGGGCGGGCGCGGGCGCGGGCGGGGAGGCGCGCTCGCCGTCGCCCGCGCACCACTTCAAGAAGCGGTTCTTCCGGCGCGAGCGCTGGGGCGCGTGGAGCGGGCCGCCGCCGGCCGCCGCCGTGGAGTGGGAGCGGCCGGCGATGTGACGGCCGCGCATGTAGCGCTGCGACGTGTGCCACTTCGCGCACCGCCGCGACTCCTGACCTCGCCGCACTAGCGCAATTCACTGCCCGAACACTGCCGACTCGACAGAACGTACGTTTGTATTCTATGTAAATAGATCGTCCTCGCGGCTCGCCGGAGCGTTCGTGTGCGGCGACCGCCTGCGACGCTACCACTTATCGCGCGTCGATTTAATTTTGTTATTTTTTTTTGAAATATATTATAATGTAATTATGTATATTATTGAGTTTATATTATGTTTAAGAACTGTAATTATTTAATATTAGGTTTATGTCGTCGTTTTATTCGGGCGCTCCGATAGATGTTCGCGCCGCGACGGATTGTATTTCATGTGTTCATTTAGGTCTTAGATTTTGAAATACATGATTCGGTGCAGCGGTTCTTATTTACAACGGTCGTTTGATGGATGTTTGTTGTGTTATGTGTTTTGTTTTATGATGTTACGCAAGCTCAGTCTGAACGATGTCGATCATTCTTTGGGAAGTCTTGAAATTTAGAGGGCGAGTGTCGTCGATACTGAATTTGTACATAAATAATAATATTTTGTAAAATTAATAAGGTTGATCATTGTATAGCTCTGTTGGGTTTACTAGTAATATACAATAAGAATGAAATATATTATTATTTAATAAATCCGCGGCCGTTGCCTTATGATATGATACATCAACTCATTACAGGTTTAAAAATAGTGAAATAAATTTTCCACGAAGTATATAAACAGTAATATTTGTGATCTTTGGACAATTTCATTTCGTTATTATAACTTTTTTTTTCATATTTTCATATTGCTATTATTTTTAATTAAAGAATTCTGCAGACAGTAACAGGAATTTTATCCAACATTTGTTTATGTAAGATTAACTCAGTTATATGATTAAATGCATGAAATGCATGTGCCAAATTGTCTTATCGCCATTAAGTAGTATGATTGTTAAAATGTTCACATTATTGGCACTTTCGAGTGTAAGGAACGATAGCACAAATAGCAGAAATAGAAATTCGTGGGGAATACCTAGTTGTGTAATTTAATTGTTCAATATACCAAATTTGATGGTGCTTCATATACTTATAAAATTTCACTTCATACGTTAAAAAATATGAATATCTACTTCTTGATGCTTATAATTGGAACTGTACAGACCATGGTATGAGTATCCCTGCCGTCAAAGCAGTGGACTTTAAAACGATTAGAAAGCAACGCCTATTAATCGGCGTTAACTTGGTCTAAATTTTATCATCGGAAAAATATAATATTATACATATAAAGGTATGATTTTTTATATTTGCAATAAAAGTGTTAAATATGTATGAACATAACTTTTGAAACCCGGTGCCTTAGCGCTACGCGTTGTTTAGATTCACAATTGCTAGCCTTATATGAAACTTGCATCTGTTTAGTAATACCAAATCATAAATGTAATATATTATTCACACGTTTTAGTAAAAAGAAACGTCCTTGCGTCATAATTGGATAGACCGTGTCTGTTTATTGGGGTTTAAATAAAAAGAAACAGGCGATATTTACTTGTAGATCATTTAGTCATCAGAGTACACTAATTTAGTTTTGACGGAGTCTTTATTTCTGAAAACGCACATTTCATGTTATTTGCTTTCTTACAAATTGGGTCATTATATATCCCTATTCCCTACTTCCATGTTACAAGTGTTGTGTTTTGGAAACCTTTATAAATACGAAATATAAGTATAAATAATAACTGAAAGAGAATAACCAAAGATTGGAAAGTTTTTTTTGTAGACGTAGTTGTAATAGTAAAAATATGTAACTGAATAACTATATTTTTAATAGGTATGCAGTATATTTTTTCAAATTATAAATAAATTAGCAATGTCTTATAATTAATTTTATGTTTATCTTTTATGGTGTGATAACTGCCAAGAGTCTTAAGTTAGTAAGAATTCAATTAACTCTAAAATAAAGAAATACAACCTCAAAGAATACAAATATTATCTTATTGGTGTAGCACGCTAGAAGTCAATAAATAAATTTGTAAGTGACCACAATTGGTAATGAAATTAGTTAATGTATTCGCTCACGAGGATTATCCGCCTTCTAGAAATAAAGTTAACATTGTATAAGGATAACATTATGAAATTAATTTCATAGGTATTTTGTGTTCCTCATAAACATGTTATATAAATTTTAACGAAAACTAACCTCATTATGTTAATAAATTATTCATTTGTACTTAGCTGTTTTTAAGCTAATTCTGCGTAACATATTCTTGCAACTTCAGTTTCATGTTGCTTTTTAAAGCCCACATAATTTTTAACATTAATTCCCAATTTTCTCCCTTTAAAGCTTTTAGCTTAGAGTGAGATTTGCATATGGCAACAATTTAAACGTAATATTGATTTTAATAATCAATTAAGCAGTTGCTTGAATTTTACTTGTGGTGAAATTTGTTATATTTTAATCAACTTCTAAAAAGGTGTGGGCATTTCAAAATCGTTATATTTTTCGTTCAGGAGTTTTGGAAGTAGAAATATTTCTTACAAATAACAGTTTCCATATTCAAATATTAGCAAATCATTCGTAAAATGTGGATTCCTTAAGGGCAGACAGAATTCGCCGAGAATAATTGCATATTGATGCCGGTGCCTTGTAGTAAACTCATTTAAGTTTTAATTAGAAGCTGTAGACAAAATGTACATTATCAGAAAATTTGCCAGTGCACTATTTAGGCAATAAGAACGTTTATATGGCTAATATTTTTTTGTATAATATCGAGAAACAATAATCAAAATGCCCATACCGTGTGTATTATATTCTAGATAAGAATTGATCATGAAATTTTGATAAGAATGTATAATAGTGTAATAATAATTTTTACAAGAGCAAGTGGTAACAATTTGATACTGATGAAGTTATTGCATTTGATGAATGAGATTTTCAAGACATGTTTGGAATACATAAACGATTATAATATTTTGGCAAAAGGCAAGATTAATAAATTGTACTGAATGTAAAAAAAAAAAACACAAATCATGTCATGTGCGAAACAAGGAAATTACAACTGCCAATTAGTAATTTTATGTCGTCTTGTGTATTGTAAACATTGGAGTGTGCTGGTTTGTGATTGTGCCTGAAAAACTCACCAATGCCGCTCCAAACCTCAAAATTATGTATTCATATAAGTAAGCTTAAAAATTGAACGTACCAGTAGTAAGATAGGATGTATATTGGCATAAAAAGTAAACATGACCTGATAGTCCCAAAGAATGATTACATTGTTCAGTTTTGACTAACTTTTACTTTTAATGGGGGAAATAAGCTAATCAGTGTGACGTTAGTGTCTAAATAGTACAAATGAGAAGACTTATTGTCGTAAGCCTCGGACTATTCAACATTGCAAATGCTAGGTTTGAGATGTATCCCTGTGTACTAGTTTTATTTTGTACTAAAAGTTAAAAATAAATGAGTAATTCTAATATATTCTTTTTTATTTTACGTATATACTTTTTAAAAGTTTAGCTTACACTATGAGTTATATTTTATAGGATAAGGGCAACAAGCGAGCATACTGTCCACCTGATGGTAAGTGGTTGCTGTGGCCCATAGACATCCACATCTACCCCCGTTTATAAATCAAAATGCAGGGGTGTTGGCAGCCGTAAGGACTAAGATGGAATGGATTTTCTACACTCACTATACGAAACAATGCAGCATTAAGCTGCTATTTTACGCTGGTATTCTGTGAGAGCGTGGTCCTTCCCTGGTCGAGCCGACCCATTCGTGCTACAACTAAACAATATAGCTGCAGCATGGCTCTACCACGTTACGTGCACATCCCTTTCTATGAATGTCGTATATGGGTAATATTTCGAAGACGTGAAGTTCGCATTGGTGCAGCGCGGCGGACATTTCTTTGCCCTAAATCTCTCAGAAATGAAGAGGAAGCCTGTGCCCAGCAGTGGGGCTTATATTATAGGCTGTAAAAAAAAATAAAGCTGTTCTCATATATATTATATTAGGAATAATGAAAAGTAAAATTTCTACCACTAAGAATGGAAAACTAGGGGTTTTATTGTAACTATTTAGACAACATCTAATGTTAACGACATCTAGTTTTTACTTTGCCTTGAGCTTGAGAAATTGGTTAGTTCATACACAAGAATAGATATATAATAAAAACACTTCAAAAAGTAAAATATTTTTTTCATAATAGATTATGAAGTTGGTGCTAAGACAGAGTGTATCGAATAATTATAGGCCCTTTTTTAACCCACTTCTAAAAAGGAGAGGATTCTCAATTTGTCGGATTTTGTTTATGTATGTTCACCGATTACTCGAAGGCGCCTGAAGCGATTTGGAAAATTATTTTTTTGTTTCAAAGGGTCGAACGGTTCACGAAATCAGTGGTAGAGCCACGCGGCAGCTTTTGCTGTCGCACGGATCGGCCGGCACGAACCGGGGTGGTACCACGACCTCACAGAAAACCAGCGTGAAGTAGAGGTTTACCTCTGCTTTTCGCTTGGTGAGTGCAGGTGGCCGGAGGCCCTTATTACTGGAAATGAGGCATTCCATCTTGGTCCTCACGGGTGACAACGCATCTACATTTTGATTTGTAATGGAGGATAGATGTAGAAGTCTATAGGCCGCAGCAAGCACTTACCATCAGGTGGACTGAGTGCTCGTTTGTCATCCTTATCCTATAAAAAAAAACCGGTCGAGCGGTTTTAAAAAAAAAATTTATATTGAAGGGTTTTACAAAATTTTTAAACTCTTGTAACTTTAAGTATCTTGTTTGCGAAAGTGAAACATATTTGATAAAATAATTAAAATTTTGTACAACCGACTTCAATATAAATTATTAAGAATAACTCAAAAACTATTGGTGAGACCTTGATCAAATTTATAAGGGACCACATGAGAAGCACCAGCTTTCAAACAAAAAAAGAATCATCGAAATCAGTTCACCCAGAAAAAAGTTATGAGGTAACA